GAGAGAGAGAGAGAGAGAGAGAGAGAGAGAGAGAGAGAGAGAGAGAGAGAGAGAGAGAGAGAGAAGGGGGGGTGGGGGAGGGAGGGTGGGAGGGAGGGAGGAGGGGGGGGGGGAGAGGGAGAGATGGAGAGTGAGAGAGAGAGAGTGACCGTGAGAGCAGAGAGTGTTCCTTTTCAGAAACTCTGCTGGCGCGGCCAATCGTGGACGTGGTGCTGGTGGGGCTCGCTCGTCCCACACACGCCACACAACTCTATGCCTCGCAGCTGTGATGCAAAAGTGGGGACGCGCGTGGCGGCGCGTGCACTCTATCTACACGGGGTCTTCATGTCACGGGGCATCACAGCAGTGGACCGTGCTTCAATCTCTTCCTTCCCGGATTCGCCTCTCGCAACTCTCGCATACGTCGCAGGTGGCGGTACAGTCGTAGGCACGTGGGCAACGCGGCAACACTGAGCCTTGCGCCCTTTCGCCCTTCTCATCACTGCCCCGGCGCCGACGACTCGACCTTCTTGGGCAGCAGCTGGTTCGACATGTCCTCTCCGTGGCCTAGGCAGCCGAAGCCGCCCTTGCCCCAGGTAAAGACAGCGCCGTCGCCGGTGAGGGCGAGGCTGTGGATTACTCCAGCCGACACAGCGACGACGCGCTGGCCTGCAAAGGCCTCGATCTTCTTGGGCAGCAGCTGCTCCTGCTCGTCGCCGTGGCCCAGCTGGCCAAAGGCTCCACGGCCCCAGCTCCAGACGCTGCCGCCGACGGTGAGGGCGAGGCTGTGGTGTGCTCCAGCCGACAGAGCGACGACGCGCTGATCAGCGAAAGCCTCGACCTTCTTGGGCAGCAGCTGGTTCTGATGGTCGCCGTGGCCCAGCTTGCCAAAGGCTCCATGGCCCCAGCTCCAGACGGCGCCGTCAGCAGTGAGGGCGAGGCTGTGGCCCCCTCCAGCCGACACAGCCACGACGCGCTGGCCCGCCAAGGCCTCGACCTTCTTCGGCTGCCACTGGTTCTATATTACCCAAAAGCTAGGCTACACAACGCCCTCTATGTTGGGTCAAGGCGGGATGCCACTGGTTCTGGTAGTCGCCGTGGCCCAACTGGCCTAAGCCCCAGCTCCAAACGCTGCCATCGGTGGTGAGGGCGAGGCTGTGGTGCTCTCCCGCCGACACAGCGATGATGCGCTGACCAGCAAAGGCCTCGACCTTCTTTGGCAGCGACTGGTCCTGCTCGTCGCCGTGGCCCAGCCCGCCCAAGCCTCCAAAGCCCCAGCTCCAGATGGCACCGTCGGCGGTGGTGGCGAGGTTGTGCCCGGCTCCAGCCGACACGGTGGCGACGCGCTGGTCAGCAAAGGCCTCGATCTTCTTGGGCAGCAGCTGGTCCTGCTCATCGCCGTGGCCCAGGTTGCCGTCGCCTCCATCGCCCCAGCTCCAGATAGCCCCGCTGCTGGTGATGGCGAGGCAATGGAATCCTCCAGCCGACACGCTCACGGCACGCTCGCCGCCCAGCGGCGAAGGGAGGAGGGTCGGCGTGTTGAGCCGCGTCACACCCTCGCCGTGGCCAAGGAGCCCTGGGGCGTAGGACGGCGCATTGCCGCACGACGAGAGCCGCCCCTCGCCGTCGATGAAGACGCTGTGCTGTCCGCCTGCCACCAACCTCGCTGGCGGGTTGGACTCGCACAGCAGCGCCGAATAGCACAGCCACCGCACGGCGCAGCTCTCGCCCTCGGGCTGCGCCGGCAGCTCGTAGCCGCGCTCTTGCGCCCACAAGCGGATGGCCTCCAGCGCGAGCGCGGCGTGGAAGAGCAGCGAGACGGCCGCGACGCGAGCGATGTCGAGGGGGCCATCGAGGCGAGAGATGGCGCGCGCGAGGAGCTCCGTGGGAAGGTCGAGGAGGCGGGCGGGCGGCGGCGTGTCTGGCGAGGGGGCGGCGGCGGAGGCGGCGAGGCGGCGCGAGCGGCGCCGCGGGGCTCGCGGGGCTGACATGGCGAGAAAAAGATTTTAGACCACTGCGCCACCGACCAACCGAGTGTGGCTAGGGCGCTGCAGACGCGTCATGAGGACGCCTGCCGAGACGCGAGGGTAGCATCTTTCCGGGCGGCCGCGCGGATGTACCAGGGAGCGGACCCGAGCTTACACCACGCGATCCCGGTCCCGCCGATGCAGTGGCTGGGGCGCACCGACGGAGAGGCGGAGTTACGACAGGCCCCCCCGGCGGGAGACGGATTGTCGGAGGCCATCCGACACCTGCTGCGGACGAAACCGGGTACGATAGCGGTGGGGAACGCGGGCGGGGGGGAGTGTGGGCCGCTCTCCCTTGGCTATGACGGAACCCGGGACAGGCCCGGCCGGTCCCAGACGGGAGAGCGAAGAGCTGACCTAGTTCGCTTTGCCCGGGAGAACCCGGGGCTCCTATTGTTAGAATTTCCGGCGAAAACGATTATCTCCCTCAGCCAAGCGGTCGCAAGGAGCTTCCGTGGATACGCCCACCAATACGAGGCCGAGCCCACCTTCGAGATGTGGTGTTCTGCCGTGGCCTGCCCCGGATTCAAGTACGACGAGGCGGCGTTCATGATCTCGGCGCTGGTGGACAACCGCGCGGTCGTCATCTACCCGACGGGCAAAGGGGGGGTGGAGGGCCCCATCGTCTACACGGCGGACCCGACCTCCTGCCGGGGAGCTCGCCACCTGGCCCTCGATCGGGACACGGAACACGTGGTGACGCTGCGGCAGATGAGTGGCACATGGGCCTGGGGGACGTGGCGCCGCTCCCGAAGGACCTCGAGCGGGCTCGCCCGGTAACGTGCCTGGACGCTATATACAAGGTGGTTGACGCGGCGATAGCACGGAGGCTCGAGGAAGTTGCGCGCAGGCACGGGCTGCTCTCGGCGAATGCGTTCGGCTTTGTCAAGGGCGGGTCGACTGAGTGGCCGATCAGCCTGGTAGCCGCTGCGCAGTGGCACGCGAGGGAGACGGGAGCGGTACTACTACAGCTGTACATGGACGCCACCTCCGCCTACGACACCATCAGCCACCGAGGGACGGGCGTGGCTTGCGAGGCACTGGCGATGCCCGACGAGGGCCGCGGCTGAAAAAGGCTAGGAGGGGAGGTCGGGCCCCGCGCCCGTCGGATGATCATCGGAAAGCGAACAAGAGGAAGAACTCAGAGGAGAGGGGAGCCTCCTCCGGAGTGAGGATGAGGACCTCGTACGAAGGGGTCCTGAGCGGTGACGTCGTGTGAGAGTGCGTGTCGTGTTCATTATAGCTCCGAGTAGAGGGGGCGGTCTGCTGCTAGGGGAAACCCGGAGCGCGGAGCCAACCCTCGGAGACCCGTGTTTACTTTACAGCCCTTGCCCTGCGAACGCGCACCCCCGGGGCTAGGGCTCTCTTGCCCGCAACCCGATACCGATCATCCGGCCCGCTGGGTGCGCTTCTGAGCTCCTCGGCCCTGGATGTGAGGTTACTGATTGCACTCCAAGTGCTCCAAGAGGTACCGCGGGTTGTGGGTGCGAAACAACGACAAGACCAAGGCACGGGCAGAGGAACGAGAGAAGAACATAGAGTGGATAGCGCCTGTTCACGGCATGGAGGGTGAGCCACGCCGAACGCAAGGAAGCCGGGGAAGACGACCCCGAGGAGGACGAAACACCAGTGGAAATCCCGCCGTCAGCTGTCACGATATAGACAAGCAAGGTGACAAGCAGCGGCTTTGTTTGCACGTCAGAGCGGCGCCGCGCCCGTTCTCAGCGTTCTCCCTCGAGAGATAGTGTGCAGAACACACGAGCGGTGCGTCCCGCGGCAGCCTGCGCTGCCTGCGGACCTAGGTCCTAGCCGCAAGGCGCAAGCCCGCACGACCCACGCATCTCCTCTCCACAACGTGGGCCAAAAAGAAGAAGAAGCCCCAAACCATTGCAAAAGAGCGCAAACCAAGTATTAAGATTTTTACCCTCGCTTCACTCGCGTCACTCCTCCCCTCCCGCCAGCGAGATGCCCTTCCAGAAGCCCGTCGACGTGCGCTCGCCCGGCCGCCCCATCGAGCCGTTCCACGCGCGCGCAAGGTCCGCGATCTCGCTGTCGGGAAGCGACTGCCCGTCCACCGAGCGCTCCATGTCCGCGTACCTGCGGACAAGGCACGCCGCCGCACGCTAGAAGGACGGGGCTTCTGTTGGCGGGCTGCGCCGCCGCGTGTGTTCGTTTCCTGTGGCGCCGGAGACGCGGCCGAGTCACCACGCCGAGACTATAGTCTTAGAGCATCTGCCTGGCCACGCCTGTAGCGCGGGTAGTACCTCCGAAAGGCCGCGACGATGTCTCGCTCGTGGCAGCGGCCCCCGCGCGCAAGCCGGTCAGCGGCAAACGCGAGGAACCTGTTCACAGCTAGAGGTGTGAAGAGACGCTGTTCACAGCGGTGGCAAACACGAGGAACCTGCCTTGAAGAGGCCGTGAAGAGACCGTGAAGAGGCCGTGAAGAGGCCGTGAAGAGAGGCGCGCCTCACGAGGCGCACTCACCGCGCGCGCGCACCGCGTGTCTTGTCAGAGAGTGCATGTGCATGTGACTCGAGAGTGCCGTCTCTCTGCCAAGGGGTCCACACCCGTGCTCATACCTTGTCGTTGGCTGCCACTCTGTCTCTACCTCCTCTCCGTTTCTACCTCCTCGCTGTCTCCACCTCCTCCCCGCGCTACCCATCTAGTTGCGCACTCGTCTGTCAGCATCGCGCCACGGTCCCGCTCCTCCCTGGTCGGCAGCGGCGGCCGGATCACCTGTGATGAACAGAGAGGCACAGGGTAGCAAGAGAGAACGAACCAGGTCTCCCGTCCAGCCGTGCTGCTGGTGACTCCTCGAGCAGTCCGCCGCCGATGCAGGCGCAGACGCCGGCGCTGATCACGAAGCCAGCGTCCTCGAGCGCCACCAACAGCAACCGCTCCACGAGCAGCCCGGCCGCCACAAACGCGCTCCACACCGCCAGCCGCACCGAGAGCGGCGCGTCCGCCGCCAGCTGCTCCCGCCGGTCCCGCAGCCACTGCGCGTCGGGCGTCGCCAGCTCCCCGACAACGCCCTCGAGTGCGTAGCCGGGCCGGATGCCGCGACTGGACACGAGCCCAGCCGGCGCGAGGAGGAAGTCTGGCCCGAGCAGCAACGCCGTGCCGACGAAGAGGGCGGCGACGAGGTCGCTCCCGCCCGTCGGAGCGAAGATCACGTCGGCGACGTCGGGGAAGGGCGTGATGGTTGCCGCCTTGGCCACGGTGGGCGCATCGAGAGCATCGGGAAAGCTCGACGGCTTTGGCACCACTTGTATGCCGCCCACGGTGGGCGCATCGGGAAAGAGATCCACGACCTTCATGCACAGGGGCGGAGCCCGCGTGCTGACGTGCGGCTGCGGCGGGCGTGGCAGCATGAATGCGCCGCAGAGCAGCGAGGTTGCGAGCATTACCGAGAGGCGGTGAGGGCTTAGAAGGCGATTCGCGGCTGCGGCCGTCGCCAGGGGAGGGGCCTGTTGCGGAGTGCGGAGTGGAGACTGGCCGCGAGAACCAGGTTCGTTGTGAAGAGCTGGGGCGCGCCTGGCGAGGTACTTCCAGCCTGCTGTGGGAACAGCTGACGCAGTCTCGCCGAGGCTCGCCCCAGCAGACTCGGCCAGACAAAAACCCCGAGAGGCGTGGGAGTACCTCGCCAGGGGCGCGCCACCCAAGAGCCTAGGTAGGTGCGGATCGGCAAGAGCGCAATCGATCTTTTTGCCCTCTATCACCTTGGGTTGTAAGAACTTGAAACACACCACGCAGGGGCACAGCAAGCACGGATAGCCGTTGAGGAGAAAGGGCGTAAGGTGTATGCGGGTATGCGCAGCCACGGCCGTGCCGCGGTGGGCGCGCCACCTCCCGCGAGCGCGGCGGGATCGGAATTGCGGCCGGAGGGAAGGGCGAGCCGCCGCCGCCGCCGCCATATACCATCAGCGACGACGACCGCGGCTCGCCCCAAACGCCAGGCGCTGGATCGGCAGTAGGGCTTGGGCGGCGCAGCGTAGGCCTCGAGCCACACTAATCGCCGACAACCCCCCCTCATCGACGTGATGGCCGCACCCGCTGCCGGCCGATGCAAGCTGCCGCCTCCACCGCACCAGCGATACTGGCCGCGGCTCGCCGCCACGCGCCGGCTCGGAAGAGGGGCTATCGGCGGCGCAGCAGAGCGGCATGCGTCGTCATTCGAGCAGCACCCAGGTCCCCTCTTCGACGTGACGGCCGCTCCCGGAGCCGGCCGGTGCGCGCCCGACCCACGCCCCCTCTCGCACCCCCCCGATCCCCCTGCGCGGCGGCCCCTCCACTGCGCGCCGGCTCGAGCGCCTATTGCCAAATCACGACTTTCGAGCGCAGTGCGTGCGCCCCACACGTCACGCGAGCGCAGGAGAGTTTGCGGCAGAGCAGTACCGTGTACTAGCCGGAGGCATCGCGCCGAAAACCCCGCGCATTCCGCCCCAACAGAGGCTCATGAGGCCCGGCTGTCGTTTAGCCACGATCGTTACGAAATGTAGCCTTACCGGGGGAGGTCTCCAAGCTGTCTTGGGTGGTTTCTCCCCCCCCCCCCCCCCTTTGGCTGTGGCGGCACGGCCCATCCTGACGCTCGCGGCGCTCTTGGCGGCGACGAACATGCGGAGCCCAGGTAGCGCCTGGGCAGGCCTCCTGATGGCCGCGCTGCGCGCGGTCGTCGTCCTCGGCGTGGGCTCCGGTGCCCTCCACGCGCGCGCGTGCGACTCTGCGCACTTCTGCGCCCAGAAGCAGGATGCTTTCCTGCTGCAGGGTGCAGGAGGCGCTGCAGGATCGCTCGCCGCTGCGCGATGCGGCTCGGGCGCCTCGACGCTCGGCCGCTCGGGCGGCGCGCTCGCCCCGGGCGAGTCTGCGCGGCCCGCGCGCGCAAGGCGCGCGCAAGCTGCTGCTGCTCCTGCTGCAGTGGCGGCTGCCTCCTTTTGCTCTTCGGCTGGTACGAGCCGGGCGGCGGAAGGCGGCGACGGATTGGGCGTTTGCTGGTGGCGCCTCGCTCGCGCTCAAGCCTGCTCCTAGGGTTGTAAAACGTTAATTTGGGGCCTAACAGTTGCGCTAGTGTTGGCTGAAATCCTTAACGTTGTTCAAGCGGTGTTGGTTGCAGACAGATACAAGCGCACGCACCGCTGTGCGAATGGAGCCGAAAGGCCACCTCGGTCAGAGTTACAACAAACAACCCGACGTGGACGCGTGCAACATTGGCAGGGGCGGCAAGCGCTTTTCAGGCGATGTCAAGGTTGTCTGCCCCCTCACCAGCGGCGGGGAGCATGGTCGGAACGGCGCTTTTGTCGCCTTCGGCAACACCGAGGCGTTCTACCGGAACATGGTCGAGGGGCATGGGCCCTACCGCGCGGAGGGAGAGGGAGGCGAGGGGGAGGGGGAGGGGGATGGAGGGGAGTGTGAAGGGTATGGGGGCGAGGGAATGGAGGGAGAGAGGAAGAGCAAGGGCGAGAGGGGGCAGGGGACTGGTCGATGGCATACTAGGGGGGGCAGGGTAGTGGGCGGCGATCGCCGCATACGAACCGTCCTATGGCGGCGAGTATCGCTACGCCAGGGAGGACAAGGACGTCGACGTGCGGCTGCTGCTGTTCGAGTCGTTCGGTGGGTTTGGGAAGGGGGTCGGCGAGATCCTCTGCACCTCTGGGGGGCGGCGAACGCGCTGCAGAACAAGCTGACGCGGGCCCAGTACCTCGATGAGGTGACTTGGACCACCAAGAGCTGGCTGGGGCTGCAGAAGCAGCGCATCTCAGTCGTTCTTCACACGGCCATCGCAGAGCAGATTGTGAATGAGCTTGCCAGCGGCGAGGGCCGCGGTCGAGTGCACGGAGCTAAGTGCCTCGCCGTCCTCGCGGGCTACCTACCTCGCGGGAGTCGCTTAGGCGGCTCCAGTGGTGTACCTGTGTTAGTGCCAGTGCGCGCCAGTCCCGTGCCCAGTGCTGTGCGCACTTGGAGCACTTGGAGTGCAATCTTTTCACCGCAGATGCGGTGCCACGGTTTTAAAATTCTTTTGGAGGCATTCTGCAGCCGGCGCTCTAGCATTTCAGCCTCCGCGGGCGCAGCCAGAGTTTTAGAGCCCGAAATGGCCAGCGGCGCTCGGCCAGCCTTGCCGGGCGGTCACGAGCTTGGCGACCAGCTGTACTACACGGGCTCGAGCCAGACGTTTGAGAGTGGCAATAAGCTCACGCACGGCCAGTCGGGCGAGGTCGTCGGCCCCGCGACCGGCAAGCACCAAGGCAACGGCCTGCAAATGTTGTTTCCAGGGAACAAAGGCTCCATAAACTGCTCTCTGCTCAGGCTCAGCCGCGAGGAGCCGCCGCCTCTGCCGGGCGGTCACGAGACCGGCGACCGTACTGGACGGGCTCGAGCCATTCGTTTGAGAGTGGCGATACGCTCACGCACGGCCAGCAGGGCGAGGTCGTCGGCCCCGCGACCGGCGCGCACCAAGGCAACGGCCTGCAGGTGCTGTTTCCAGGGAACAAAGGCTCCATAAACTGCTATCTGCCCCAGCTCAGCCTCGAGAAGCCGCCGCCTCTGCCGGGCGGTCACGAGCTTGGCGACCAGCTGTACTACGCGGGCTCGAACCAGACGTTTGAGAGTGGCGATAAGCTCGTGCACGGCCAGTCGGGCGAGGTCGTCGGCCCCGCGACCGATTTTCACCAAGGCAACGGCCTGCAAATGCTGTTTCCAGGGAACAAAGGGCACGTAGACTGCTATCTGCCCCAGCTTAGCCGCGAGAAGCCGCCGCCTCTGCCGGGCGGTCACGAGCTTGGCGACCAGCTGTACTGGACGGGCTCGAGCCATTCGTTTGAGAGTGGCAATAAGCTCACGCACGGCCAGCAGGGCGAGGTCGTCGGCCCTGCGACCGGCGAGCACCAAGGCAACGGCCTGAAGATGCGGTTTCCAGGGAACAAAGACTCCATAAACTGCTCTCTGCTCAGGCTCAGCCGCGAGAAGCCGCCGCCTCTGCCGGGCGGTCACGAGCCCGGCGACCAGCTGTACTACGCGGGCTCGAACCAGTCGTTCAAGTCTGGAAACAAGCTCGTGCACGGCCAGCAGGGCGAGGTCGTCGGCCCCGCGACCTGCGAGCACCAAGGCAACGGCCTGAAGATGCGGTTTCCAGGGAACAAAGACTCCATAAACTGCGCTCTGCCCCAGCTCAGCATCGAAAAGCCGCCGCCGTTTCCCGGCGGTCACGAGATTGGCGACCGGCTGTACTGGACGGGCTCGAACCAGTCGTTTGAGAGTGGCGATACGATCGTGCACGGCCAGCAGGGCGAGGTCGTCGGCCCCGCGACCGGCGAGCACCAAGGCAATGGCCTGCAGCTTCTCTTCCCAGGGAACAAAGGCTGGATAGAATGCGGACTCGCCTCGCTGTCCCACGAGCTGAGCCTGCCCGGTGGCTTCAGAGTGGGAGAGGAGCTCTACTTTATTGGCGGCGGGTTCGTCGACGAGCAGGGGGACAAGGCCGTGTTTGGCTGCCGAGGATCGGTCACTGGCCCAGCCCGCAACGGCGACGCTGACGCTGTTTCCATGTCTTTCTCCGGCAACCGAGGGGACGTGCACTGCCGGGCCGAAGAGCTCAGCCGCGAGCCGGCGCCCTCGCTTCCCGGCGGCTTCGTTCTCGGCGAGCATCTCTACTTCACCGGAGAGGACCAGATCGTCGGGCGCGGCATCCTCGTGCGCGGCTCGCGTGGTGAGGTGGTGGGCCTGGGTTTGGAGCCGGACAGCCTCGCGATGCGCTTTTCGAACAAGGTCTTGTTTTCCGGTAACCAGCCGGTCAACATCGCCTCCCTGAGCCGTGACGATCCGTGCGCCGTGTCGTCCGTGCCCGAGAATGTATTGCGAGCGCGCCGAGCGCTTGCCGCGCGCAGGGAGGAGCAGGAGCGGGCTGCGGCAGCGGCGGCGTCGCAGACGGCAGAGGACATTGCAGCGGAGGCAGAGCGGCGGCAGCAGCTGGCGGCGGAGCTCCTGGAGGAGGAAGCTGCGGCCAGGGCTCCGCCTCCACTTCAGGAGGCGGGACGGAGGAGGAGGAGGAAGAAGAAGCAGAGCGGCTTTCGCGGGTCGAAGAGCAGCGCAACCGAAGGAGCAGAGGGATCGGCTGACTGCGGCGACTCCACCACCTCAAGGGCGGCGCCAGCGCGCGAGTCGGCTTCAGAGAGCGACGAGGAGGAGCGCGTGACGCCAGCCGAGGAGGCGCGACGGGCGGAGGAGTCGGAGCGGGCGGCGCAGCGAGAGAGGCAGGCGAGGCTGCTCGAGGCAGCGCGGCGGGAGAGGGAGGAGCGTTTGGAGAGGGAGGCTAGGGCCGAGGCCGCGGCCGCGGCTGCGGCGGAGAGCGAGGCTCGCGGCAGGCGACAGCAGGCGGCGCGAGCGGCGGAGGAGGAGCGGAAGCGAGCAGCGCGGGCGGCGCTGGTGGACGAGATGGAGGCGCAGGCGCGGCAGGAGGAGGCGGCGCGGGCCGGGGCACAGCTGAGGACGACGCAGGCTGAGCAGTCCAGCACGCGCTCGGCGATCGAGCAGGCGCTCTCCCAGGCTAGGTCAGACGCGGCGGCGGCGAGGGTTCGCGAGGCGACGGCGGGGTCAGAGGCGGAACGGGCGAGGTCAGAGGCGGAACGGGCGAGGTTAGAGGCGGAGGCGGCGAGGGCGAGGGAGCAAGAGGCGAGGGGGCGGAAGGAGGCGGCGACGGCAGAGGCGGAGGCGGCGACGGCACGCGAGGAGGCGCTCACCATGCGACTCGCGGCGCTCGAGCTAGGACCTCCACCGGCCGCCCCGCCACCGGCAACCGCAAACAACGCTGTGGGGGGAGGCGTCGGAGGCACCTTCCACGGCGCCACGCTGCCGCAGAAGGTCTCGCGGATCTGTGCGCATTTGGGGCTGGACGCGCGCTCCTCGCTCTCTGCGGCGGTGGCGGCGGCGAACGAGAGCACAGGGGTCGCCGCTGAGGGAGGGCTTCTGCAGCAGGTGGACCGGCTGATCGCGCTGCTGTTTTGGGAGCCGCAGGGGAGCGCTCCGGAGGTGAGGTAAGGTAAGGTCTCTAAGAAAGCCGTATAGGTTAACTTCGTCTCCACACACACAAGGTGGTGGGGGGCAAGTGGGGGGGCGACCATAGTCTGAGGGTTAGGTTTCTGGAGCCTCGGGTGCTTTTACGCTTTTGATCGGGTCAGGGGAGAGTGCGACTTTTACCACTTTGGTCGTCTCGGAGCGCCCAACTTTTAGCATTTTTCAAAAATTTCTTCGGCGCTGCGCGCCGGGTGCAGCAAGTACTAGCTATCGTCCCGCAAACCGCGGCAAAGTAGTTCCCGCACACTATGGCTAAAAAAATGCTGCCGCTCGCCTCGAAAGCGCCCGCCGGTGTGTGCCCAAACATGTAGCGCTACAAGTGTTTGTGACACATAAGGACGCATCCTCCCACAACACTTCACCCGCTGGCTTGGTTGCAGCTCTGCCGACCATCTGCCGGCTTGGGGGGGCTACGGTGGCATTCGCCGGAGAGTAGAATGTCCAATATTTTCGCGCGCCTGCGGCGGCGCGACTTTTACCATTTTGCCCCGGACGGGCGCGGGCGGGCCCACTTTTGTCGTTTTGCCCCAAATCTACGGCTAGCCGTGCTTTTAGCGTTTTGACCCAAATCGGCCGAACTTTTAGGATACCCTCAGACTATGGGGGCAACCTGGTTTGTGGACCTCCCGCACCTGTCCTGACAGTCCTGACAGAGTCCTGACAGAGTCCTGACAGAGTCCTGACAGAGTCCTGACAGAGTCCTGACAGAGTCCTGGCGGGGTCCTGACGGCGCACGGTCTTCACAGTGCTCACAAGTGCCTCCGACGAGACCTCCACCTTCCTTCACTGCAACCCTCCTTCCCCTCCCCCCCAGCAGTGAATGATAGACGCCCAGCCCCCCTTTCGACCGTGCGCGCCCTCTGCGGAATCGTCCTGATGGGGCAGTCCTGACGCAAACTTGAGAGTCCTGACAGAAACTTGAGAGTCCTGACAGAAACTTAGAGTCCTTACAGACAAAAGAAATCACCCTCACTCTCGCGCCACTCGGCTCGACCATGAAAGCGCACAAGCAAGAGGCGCGGCCATGGTGCAGGCAACGTTACAGCCGGCAACGTGCAAGAAGGCAGCAAAGCTCGGCCACGACGTCCATGGCCCGCGCCCCCCCGATTTGCCACCGGCGGCCTGCAGGCCAGCGCCGAGCAGCGGACCGACTGCTGACCGACTGCTGACCGACTGCTGACCGAGGCAGCGCCCACGGCAGCGCCCACAGCAGCGCCCACGGCAGCACCCACGACAGCACCCACGACAACGCCCACGGCAGCGCACACGGCTTGGCTGGCCATGTCAGCCGCGCAGGGACCCTCCCGCGGGTCCAACCCGAAGCGCTCGACCGCTCGACGGCGCAAGTCGGCTGACGGAGCGAGCCGCATAGCCCTCCAGTGCTCACCGCAGGATCAGGCCCGACCGGCCCACGCTCACGGCCTGGCCTGCCTGTGGACCAGCAAACTCGTTGGCTGTACGCGAGCAAAGAGCTGCGTGGCTGGGTTGTGAGCATACCGTCCCCGTTGCGCCCTTTCCCTCAGTGGAGGGCCGTCCCTGCCCTCGGGAGTAACTCGACTGTACACCCCTCCCTACTCTCTAGCTAAGGGCTCTGTTCACAGCGGGGGGGCAGTGGTTGTCCTGGCGGAGTCCTGGCGGAGTCCTGACAGAGTCCTGACAGAGTCCTGACGGAGTCCTGACAGAGTCCTGACGGCCTATTTTGGAGGTTTTCAACTTTGAGGTATTGTTACTATGTGAGGGTGAAATGAATGAATCAGTTCTTTGGGACAGTGCAATCCTTTTAATATACC